AAAAAGAAATTCAGGAGAGCTGAATTTGAATATTATTATTATTATTATTATTATTATTATTATTATTATTATTATTATTATTATTTTCAGTGACAAATATAATGGTAATAGCTGACATTTTATGATTCTTATCTATGTAAGTATTGAATATTTGCCAAGGCTTAAAAAATGATTACATCATCAGGAAAAAATGTCCATTTCTGCAGACTCCCATGCCATTAGGCTTTTAATATGGTAGTTAAATTTCCAGACAAGACATCTTGTCTGGAAGGAGGGTTAGCTTTACTGGAAATATGTTAGTTTTCAAAATGGTCAAAATATGTTAGCTTTCAAAATGGGGAGAATAGTTAAATTTATGCCCCAAATTTCAAGTGATTTGTGCCAAACAAATGCCTGATACCCATATTTTGATGTCATCTTCTCTTAGTTATGTCCATATCTCCAGATGTGTTCCTTAGCTTTAGAAGAGTTTCTTGGCAACTCTTGCAAGTTTATCTACTTTTTGTTACAGCACAGTGCTGCAGTATGCTTGGTAAAATCTTTGTATTATAACCTTTAGCAACTGAACTGAAATGAACAGTGGTTTGAAAATTGCTGCTGTGCTTAAATAAGCAAACAGACAACATATGATTAGCCATTTCCTTCCTGAGGAAGCTCACAGGGTGCTTCTGGCCACAAATCCATTCTAAATAAAGCTCCACTTCTCAGTAAAATGGAAAATAGAAAGCTCCTGCCATTTTAATTGCTGTTAGGCTTTTCATCTTTGTACCATATATGTGCACCTGTTTTGCTGGAGGGCAATCTGAACATTTCAAATACCATCACAGAGGTCCCAGAATGATTGAAATGGTATCTCCTTAATAAACAATTACTTAAAAGTGGATATAGTGAATAATAAAAGTGGAACTATTTATCATATAATAAGTTACCATAATATGCATATAGCCACATAGGAAACCAGATAGGTATTTTCCTCATAAATGGTTGGAAGAATCTTACAATTTCCATCTTCTTTGGATTCCTTACTGGAATTGCACTCTGCATTTAGCAGAACAGTCAGAAAACAAGTTTACTATGTAATTTACTGCATAGGTAACTAGCATTATTAATTTCCCTCCCATTGATTTTAATGGAAAGGGAAACCAGCTTATTGCTTATTCTTTAGCAACTACTATACAAGTTTGGCTAAAAAAAATCAGCTCTTTTTATTAAGTGAGGTTTTTGGTTTCCCCTGTATTGGCTGAATTTGTTTATGTAAAACATTTGCAAGTGACACAATCTATTAACAAATTTCAAAATAGTTTACAATACAATTCCACCAATTAAAACAGTGACTTAAAACAATTAATAAAAGCACATTTTAAAGAACATACAATGAAGACCTTTTAGTTGAGAACAAAGTTAGAATTGAGGTAAGAGAAAGACAAAAGCTCCCCACCCTCACTTCTCCATACAGTGAAACAGTCCACTGATGTGACAACTATACTAAAGTTGTTACCATTATGGATAAAATTTATTAAACATAATTTTTTTAAATACAAAAAGTATGTTAAAAGTACAAAGTAAAACAAAATAGTTGTTGTAATCAACATACATAGTGAGATTTCTGAAAGTGGAGTGTCTGTTATCAGACTGTCCCCCCATATCATTGGCCTAATGCATATGGCAGGACACATTCTGGGTATGTATTTGTCCATATTATAAAGCTCCTAATTGTTTTTGGAAGAACAGGTAGGAAATAAAGATCTTTGTGGGTATATCTTAATTATTCCTCCTGGTTCCAGACCTTTCTATGTGTTTTCACTGCAGTCAACAAATGCAAAACCTTTTGATTGGCTGCAATGAGAAACTAGTTGTAGGAAGCAATTGGGTCCTTAAATTGAGATTATTTTTCTTCCTAGAAATTCTGAAAAGGCTTTAAGTTGTAATGAAGAACAGTACTTGTCTTTGACTGAAATTCTGTTTCCATCTTTGCATAATCACACAGGGAAAAAAAATGGCATCTCTTGTCAGGAATTCACAGTTGATGTCATCTTAGGTAGAAGTTATGGTGGTGAGGATCATTAAGATAAGGGAAAAGCAGAATTATTTTATATTGATTAGTTTCCCATCTGAATGATTCCTGGTTGTTGTACTAGCTTACCCTTTGACCTGTTGGTAGTGCTAGGTCAGCCCACAATAGAAGTTATTAGTTATGATTTACTTGTAGATGAAGGAAATGGGCAAATATACATAATTAAAATTTAGATGAGAAGAAGTGGATTTCCTGTCTTGCAGGAAGCTGTGTCTTCCTGAGCATCTTGTAAAGAAACCACCCAGACTAGAGATTAGGGAAGGGATATCACTGTAGACTGTAGTCTGTAAAGCTTCTGGTGTTGGGTAATAGGGACAAATTAGGAATTCTGTTTGTATGTTACCAACCCCATTACCTATCATAGTCTCCAACAAAGTTGATTCAAATGGTGGTCACATTAAAAATTTCAAGGATAGTCATAATGAGAATATCAGCATACATACTGAGGCTTCTGAAAATGGAGTTGTTGTTAGAGGGCTATCCCTATATATAACCGGCTAATACATATGGCAGGAGACGTTCTGGGTGTGGATTTCCTAGTTGGCAGGAAGATTATAATTTATTCCATTTTCCATAGTCAGAAAATTTCTTCTTGAGATTTAGCCTTTCAGCAATTCCTCTCCCTGCAAGAGTGGAAGAGCTATTAAAATGTGATGTTCTTAGAGACTAATAGATTCTAATAGATTTTAGAGAGCTCTGGGAAGATTTTTCTGAAAGGGCAGTTGCCTTGATCCTTCCATGAAATAAAAGTATCTTGGACAGCTTACATGACTGCACTTGAGTGCCTGTTCCCTTTGCAGATCCCATGTGTCTCTTTGGAATATTCCAGAGCCAAGGGCAATGAAACAAATGGGATGACAGCAAATCATAGATGGAGAAGAATTCACACCTAATTTGAGCAAATAAAAATGTGATTTTTCTAGTTGGGCAGTTTCTTTTGCACCTTCACTGTATCTTTGCAGTGTTATCAAGTGAAATATTTCCAAATAGCCAGGGCACATTACAGTATGTTCCAGAGAGAGAGAAGTAGGTACATCCTCAGAGGCACATTGTAAATAATTTACAAGACTTTGAAGATAAAGTCATTTGTATCTGCTGTGTATTAGATTCCATATTTAGTATGTTTCTAGTATAGTGGTACTAGTATCCAGAGGATTGGGATAAGTTTCAGTTGTTGAAGCTTGGAAATGTAAAGAAGATGCTTGATCGTATTTGGTAATCACTTTGCAAACTCAATCCTTACTCTTGTTGGATTGTTATATTTAAAACAGAGGGCTATCCAATTGGGTCCAGGAGCTGACCACCAATTTCCTACAGAGGTAGTGATCAAGCAGCTACTCAAGAAATCTGATTTGGATCTCAGCCCTCCCTCTTCCTGGACAAGGATTTGAGCAAGTGGTTGCTGATTGTCTCTAGTTACCTGTCCTAGAGAATGATATTTTACAGAGCAATTATGACTTAAAAACAGCTTCCATGGATCTCAATGAAGGCAATTTTAAAATTGCTGATTGGAAATATGACTTTTTTTTTCCTGGTTGAGGGAGACAGGGTGCTGGGGAGAATCTTCAAGACTGGATAATTCCAAGGTCACAAGGCATCGTTTGAGCTTATAGAACTATTAATTTTTTACCCCACCTTTATTTTTGATCAGCTCAAGGTGGCATACAGATCTAATGCTCCTGCCTCCTATTTTCCCTACATCAATGATCCTATGAGGTTGGTTGGGCTGAAAGATAGTAACTGGCCCAAAATCACCCAATTGGCTTTCATGCCTAAAGGAGGTTTCCTGGTTTTTAGCCCAGCCACAATACCAAACTGGCTCTCTATAGAAATTTTTCCAACTATAAAACTATAGAACTGTAAGAATTCTGTCAATTATAAGCTTGTTATCTCATGTTTTATTTAAATTTTGTGTTAAGGCATTATCAACCAATTTCTGAGCATTTTATTTCAGGTTGCTGGACTGTGGTTTAGTCATTATCTTTATTTTTTAAAAATACCGTACTTAATTTGATCAGAGTGAGCCAGTCAATTCCAGTAAAAATAATATGTCTTCTAAAGTTGAATTCTACAATAATTTTCTGGTACTCCTCAGCCCAAATTGACTATTAGTTATTTCCTCCAGTATCTAGCATTTGATTCAATTCTTGTATTTAATACTGTATGTGTCATATCTTTCTCCCATGACCCCATATTCTAGTGCTTCCCCTTCAGTTTTACTTTTGTCTGTTTTTACACGGTTCTATGAAAATTAAAAGGCATGTCAAAATGTCATTCATTTGGATTTTAGAAGTGTAACTAAACTCATGTTAATGAAAAACTTTTATTTTTAATTACGTGTTAAATACAGGACTTTGATTCATTCAAATTCCTTTTAAATTGTAGTTTCTATCTCTCAGATATAATGTATGCTATTGATACAAAGTAAACCAAAGAGAAATAAAAAAAATCATCCTGGTTTTCAAGTTCCATAAATACAATAAAAAACAAGACATATAATAAGCTAAGGAATTTTTATTTTGAAAATATGGCAAGAATCTAAGGCACTTCAAACATTAAAATGCATATAATGAAGAGAACAAGGCAAGAAGATAAGCATTCTAGCTATAGGTGCCCAGAACTACATTTGATTTCACTAGAGAATAGCATATTCCAACATTTTAGGAATCATGTAGTTAATAAAAATGTAACAACAGTTATGTGTAAAGTATTACTGTAGTTATGTTGGATTCAAAGTGTCAAAAATACTGACTGTTATAGCAAAGCTATACAAATCGGCAGCAACAATTTATTTAGCTAGTTCAGGCCATAGTGGCCTATCTTCCACTGTTAAGCCATGAAGCCACCAGCTGACATTCTAAAGGGCAAACATAAACAAGTATCCCTTTTTAAATTAAAAAAAAAAAGCATTCAAACAACAATCAAAACCATTTTGGAATGACATGTATAATGAAAAGGTTCTTGCTGACAATCCCAACAGTAGCAAATATAAATATTTGTAGAGAACATACATTTACAAAGTAATAGAGTCATAACCAAACAGCTAGCTTAAATAACTGTATTGAGGGTAACAGCAAGATATATTCGGCAGCAAAGATATTATGCTATTTTCTGGAGGCTGAAAAGATGAGCAAAAGGGGACTTTAAGGTTTCATATTACCTACAGAACTGCATAGAATCATTCCTTTATGACAGCTGTTCCCATACAGCAAGTCTTCCATCCAGCAAACTGTGATAACATCAGTTTCTTTCACTTTATTGGAAACCTAAATGTTTCTGCAGCATGGAGGAGTTTGACCAATCAGAATAGTGAGGATTCATCTGAAGTACCAACTGACCACCACACCATGTGTAAATTGTCTCTTGTTAGCAAGAGTGCTTCTTAACCTCTTTCTTGTAGATGCTATTCTAGCTCTAAATATTGGCTTTCAATTTGCTGGTGAGTTCAGGCACATGACAATTACATTCAATATCTGTCACTGTAAAACAGTAATCACTAGCAGCTTAGAAGATGTGACAGAGTTTTACACAAAAGTGCATTAGCAATCAAATGGGCTTCTGTGAGTAGGACCTGGGGAAGGCTTTCTTCCAAGCCTTGGAGTTCCCTGAAAAGAAACAAAAAGAAGAAGAATTGGTAAGGATCAGAGCACAAAGTCACAGAGCCATTCAGCATATTGAATTACTGTGCTGGATCAGTGCAGCTTTTCTAACTTAGTACAGTGGTACCTCGAGTTACGAACGCCTCTGCTTACAAATTTTTTGTGTTACGACCAGCTCCGGCCCCAAAAATTTACCTCGTGTTGCGAACCACCTCAAGTTACGAACCGGATCCGCGGCCATTTTCCCTCCCATGACACGTGATCCGTGGCCATTTTCCGCCCCTGACACGTCCGCGGCCATTTTTCCACCCGACATGTGGTCCACGGCCGTTTTTCCACCCCTGACACGTGGTCCGTGGCCATTTTTCCACCCCTGACTCTCCCTCCAAGCAATAGCTGCCTCCCTGTCCTCCACGC